TCGGATAGAGGGCCGCAGACGTTCAGCGGCTGTACGTCAAGCTCAAGCGGTATGCCATACAGGGTCGAGAAGAGCTCCAGGGTGGGCTTCAGCCAAGGTTCATATGAGTCCCAAACGAGGACCTTAAGCGACCTGGACAAAGAGCTCTGTGACTGGCGAGCAGAACAACACAAAATCGAAATACCCATCAGGAAATATACCGTAATACGTAAAAAGATTTCTGTAATTGCGGAGCGAATAGAAACAAAACACCGGACGCGGAACCTCTTTGCATTGCTGTGTAGGCACGGAGCACTGAGCACTGATGGCTGCAGCGGTCGTAACACAACGGGACTACGGAAGTGGACCTCTGCTTGTCCGCCGCGCGCCCCGCCCTCAGACTACCTAACAAATGCCCCCACACCCTCCATTGGGGAGAGACGGCCCCCGACTCACAACATGAAAAGGGGCTGGAGGATCTCACCGTGTTTGACTCCAGCAGGCCCTGACATCTCCATAAGGCCCCCAGGAGCTCCCGCCTGCCTCCCTGGAGCTGGCTGCCAGTAGGGCCTCCTTCCGGGTCGCGTCCTTCCGATGTGCACCACCTTTCGACATAGTTGCGTTTCCATTCAAAGGGAAAGGGAGGATCAGGGCCTACGTTTGAGCGTCATGTTAGGAAAGGTAAATGTTCCATGTGCGTGCATACATCCGAGGCGGAATATCTACGCATCTGGGAGTGTCGGATTGCCTTTTGGAGAGCTTTAAATGGCGGTGTGGTTTCTCCCGAAGCTCACCGAGCCTCCAATGAGGACTTCACCAGAGCGGCGCACACCGGTACATACGAGTCAATATCCAATTCGAGATTGCCAGAAGCACCCCATAGAAGTGAACAGGTAGCCAGTAAGATTGCCACAGAACGCATGTCTGAAACCAAGCCGGTTGCGTCCCTAGCTGGCACCCGCTGCTGAGGAACCCGCAACGGGAGCTGCTAGGAGAAACGTGACGAGTTATAAATGACTTGGATTATGCCGATATGATCCCGCAAGCTGAGAGAAAACCAGCCCAACGCCATGGTTCGCAGCTGCGCATTACGCTACTCCCAGGGCGCACGCTGCTAGCTTGAAATGAATACCAATGCTGCAATGATCAGGCAGTATTTCCGTCTTTGCGAAAGAGCTAAAGCTCCTCTAAAGCTCCTCTAAAGTTCCTCTAAAGCTCCGTTTCAAAGAATACGCACGCAGGCCAGCAGTGCTGAGCCAATTATGATGATGTTGGGAATGAAGATTCCTACTTCAAGCAACTCAAACGGTTTATGCCTTGTGCATGCATTTTGTAAACCACACTTGGCAGTTGGTTCTCTTTGCGGCCATCGTTCCTATTGCCATGGGCACCAGTTCATCTCCAATTATAGTTATACTACTGAAGGCCACGAGACCAAGAACAATACTAAGACGCGCCGTATCATCCTTGGATAGTCAGTACACATGGTGAAACATCAGGCGACGTCGGCATAACGCTCCATCGTGCATAATCTATTGAAAATACTGCTTTTGCCTTCTGTCGACTGGGTGCACTGAGCTCCGCGCATGCAAGCCTTTACGATTCGCGTGTCACTTACAACTCCACGAACTGCAGGAGCTGTTCATAAGAGCTGTTTCACGCAGGAGCTCTGGAGCACATACCAGGCTTCCTTATACCAGGCTTTTAATGTTAGAGCTATACCTTTGGCCTTTTCAACATGTACCTAGAACAAAAGGCTGGGGGTAACCAAGTGCTGAATTATTTTAGCCGTCAAAAGCCCCCACATAGCTCCCATTGATTACAAAAAATATAGGTTAAAAAAGACAAATCACGAAATGATAATGGCAAGCCGTTCAGGTCCGACCTACCTGACCCTACCTGCCCGCAAAACGCCGCATTCGGAACATTGTAAACACTAACTGCAGAAACATATGTGCATTCATCCTCTCTGACATCTCGCATCTTTAGAACTGAGCTTTCATCTGTCTGCTGCGATACTCCCAGCTGCCCATCTGGCACACAAAAGTCCATTGATTGATGCGCGCATGGCATCCCAAAAGCGGAAATGCACATACAACCTTGATCGTCAAAGGGGTGCATGAGGGCGATTGACCTTCCGCAGCTACTTGCGTTCCTAGACGTCCCTAGACGTGACCAATCTAACACATCTCGTCAGCAGCAGCGGACGCAGCAGCGCCAGGCAGAAGCGGACGATAACTGCGGACGAGCTTAAGTATATCCCCCACCCCGACGGGGCGTTGTCTTGGCCACACCTGAAGGCAATTCCCATTTCGAAATAGTAATCTGAATGTAAGGATCAGACCACGCTAGTTATCGTGCCGTAGAAATAAAGGCGCCCTAATAGCATCGAAGGAAACGCATGCCGTGCCAGTTCGATGGCGATATGAAATCATCGAGTCCCGCAGAAATTGTAGCTTAGATGCGGCAGGAGCAAAGCGAGTATAGCCTCTAAGCTAGGTTATGTACGGCAGCCGTATGGCTTGCTGAGAATTCGAATTTACTATTTCAGCTGACAGCTCCATAGTTCCGGCATTCTGCCTACACTATTGGAGCTTATTATTATTGTTGCTCTCACTTTTATCCAAGACCTTACCGACTACCCTCAAGCCTCATCGACGCTCTACCACAACGAATCGACATCGCCGCGGACCTGTCACTCTCCGAGGAACAACCAGGAGCTCCGTCACAAAAATCAAAAAATGACGGGTAAGAGGACAAAGGCAACGGGAGATAACCTGGTCAACGCAGGAGCGGCCGAAGCAGCCGGCGAAGGGGGATCGGGCCAGATGCTGCCAGCCAACCAAAACGACATAGAAGCCGCCAGGGATACTTTGAGCGGGAACATAGACCAGCCGACTCTTCACCAGCTGCTGCTGGGCGTCCTGTCAGCAGCGCAGGCCAACGCGCCAAAAGCGCCAGCCAGGGATCCCCGGACAGCACCGCCTCGGGATCGCTCTCCTGACGTTGTCATCACAAAAGACGTGACCATCATGCCATCCGCAAGAGAACAGCTAGCAGCAATAAGGACGGAAGTTCAAGCAAATGACGCACCGAAGCTGACAGCACCACACGAGCAGCGGGAGCAGCTCGACGAAGGAACG